AACGACTCATTTGGTCCGACGCCGCCGATGCGACCGCCTTCCTCGAGGCCGTTGATGACCTCCTTGCCACCATCCATGACCTCGACGCCCCCCCCGACAAGCCCCTCCTTGACCGTGCCGAAGACCTCCTCCAGCGTTGCATTCTCCGCCTCGAGGAGGAGCTCCGCGCCATCCTCCGCCGCCCTGTTGGCTGTGGCCCTGCCGTCGGAACCCCGCCATCGGACGGCTCCGACTCGGACGCTGCCGAAGGGAGCGAGGACCGCGTCCCCGTCGCCGCCCCCGTCGACGACTATAACCTCGTCATCGACGCCCTGCCCTCGGGCTCCGTCGCGGACCTCCACGCCATTGCCCGCCGCATGGTCGCCGCCGGGTTCGGCCGCGAGTGCGCCGAAGCCTACGGCGTCTCTCGCCGCGGCTTCGTGGACGCGTCAGTCGCTCGGCTCGGCATCCGACCCCGTCCGGCCGAGGAGGTCCAGGCGTCCACCTGGATCGAACTCGAGGACGAGATCGCCCGCTGGGTCAAGGCCGTCAACATGGCCTTCCTCATCCTCGTCCCCAGCGAGCGCCGCCTCTGCGACCGCGTCTTCGCCTCCCTTCCCCCATTCGCTGACATCGCATTCGCCGCCGCCTGCCGCCCAGCAGCAGCCGGGCTCCTCTCGTTCGCCTACGTCGTTGCCGCCGGGCCCCGCGATCCGGTTCGCCTCTTCCGTCTCATCGACATGTACGAGGCCCTCCGGGACCTCCTCCCCGAGCTCGACCATCTTCTTTCGGAGCAGTGTTCAGCCGCCCTCCGCGCCGACGTCGCCGCCGGCCGCAGGGCCCTGGGGGCAGCTATCCGGGGGATATTCGTTGAGCTCGAGAACCTGATCCAGCGTGACCCGGCCAAGGCAACCGTCCCGGGCGGCGGCCTACACCCGATAACCCGGTACGTGATGAACTACCTGCAGGCGGCGTGCTCCTCCCGGCGGACTCTGGAAGAAGTCATGGACGAGGGCGCAGCCATCCCGCCCGACCCCCACCACCCGTCCTCGTCCCCCTCCCTTTCCCTCCAGGTCGCGTGGCTCATGGACGTCCTCCATTCCAACCTCGAGAACAAATCCAAGATATACCCGGAGCCGCCGCTGAGCTACATCTTCCTGATGAACAACGGCAGGTACATGACCCAGAAAGCCAGAGACAGCGAGCTGGGGGCTCTTCTGGGGGAAGACTGGATCCGGCGGCAGATGGCGATGGTGCGGCGGTGGGGCAACGCCTACCAGCGGGCCACGTGGACCAAGGTGGTGGCGGTGCTGCGAATGGACGTCATCGGCGGCGCGGTCGCCTCGGCCTCGCCCGCGGCCGGGAAGGCGATGCGGGAGCGCCTCCGGGTGTTCAACTCCTACTTGGAGGACATCTGGAAGGTGCAGGCCGGGTGGGTGGTGGCGGACGAGCAGCTGCGGACGGAGCTGAAGCTGGCGGTGGGCGCCCTCGTGCTGCCGGCCTACCGCAACTTCGTGGCGCGGCTGCGCCTGGCCGGGGAGGGTGGCAAGCAGGCGGAGCGGTACTTGAAGTACACCGTCGAGGAAGTGGAGGCCAGGATCAATCAGCTGTACGACGGCGGCCGCAGAAGGTGTTAGCAGCAGCAGCGAATGAGTTGGGGACGAAGGTGTTACTTGCAGTCGTGGGGTTTGGAATGGGTTTACGCCCGCAAAGAGCACAATGACATGTTGTGTGAGCTACACGAATAACTCGAAGCACACAAGTTTTCCTGGTCATAATGTTCTGAAAGCAATGCAATATTAGATCAGATCCAATCGTCACCATTCTGCAATAATAATAATAATAATAATATTATTATTATTATTATTTATGATTATAATTATGATTATAATTATAATTATAATTTGAAATGATTTTAATCATCATTTCAAAATCCATAAATTATAGATAATATTTTTATTTAAAATTTAAAATCCTTATTTTTATTGAACATTCTCTACTTGGAAAAGGGCCATAACTTCTTGTAAATACCATAAGCAGTAGAAAAGTCTCATCCCAAAGTCATAGATGTATTATAAACTAATATGTTACTAAAAATAAATATAAAATAAAAATATATCAACGAATCATACATATTGGTAAGGACCTCCGAAAATATCATAAAAATCGTATTCAATACTCATAAAATATATTCAAATATTAACAATTTGATAACATACCAATTCATTATGAAACTCATGTATCAAATAAATAATGTTACATCTTATGTGGTAAATAAAATTATACATCAATCTTATTATACATATTAGTAATACGTATAATAGTCAAGCAACAAAAGTATACATCATAGTAAATTGTATACTCTCTCAATAATATATGAAGATAATTTATATCAGACTCCCAACAATGGATAGATTGACATATCTTACCCATCTAGGCTCATGTTTGTCTCAATAATAGATAAAAAAATTATCTAATCATTCCGGTAATCCTCGGAATCACTCTATATACCCTTGATACATAATAATATATGATCATTTATTTATGCATAAATTTAAAAAATAAAAATATTATAAAATATCATGAGTGATTATGGTATATAAATTGTTAGACTATGTCTATTACTTTCACAATGTGCAGTTACAATGTGCAGTTACAATATCATGTCCTTTCACAATGTGCAGTTACAATATAGATCACTCGGTATATCCACATATTCCACATGGTAATAATATTATCACATTAATATAAAAATAATATAGAATTACTAATTATTTTTAAATCATAACTTTGAATAAAGTTTTTAAACTCATCAAATTATAAAGACATGAGGTTTCAACGTCTTAATAACCATCAAATTGAACCTTAATTTAAATAGCTCAATTAACTTGAATTAAATTAAATTCAACTATGACTTGACTGAACATACCTATAATCTCTATTAAACTAGTATGAAACTACTCTAAGTTGGTCTAATTTAGATCTAATCAGTTTCAATTAGTTCAAATATGCATGAACCGAACAAATTGATCAAGAATCATCTTGAACTAGCATAGATTAGTCAAACATATATGATTCAATCAACTAATAAGCCCAAATCAACAAGGGAAGAGGGAATTAGACTAGATTGCACAGTGTTAATCCGAATTAAATTGACCCATCTGAGTCCTAGTTTTATCTAAAATTATAAAATTGTCAAAATGATTTAGTGAGAAACTAATATGATTTATACTTTTTATAAGGTAAATTTTATTTATTTATTTTATTAAATTTTTTTATATTTATTAATATGATTATAATTTTATTTATTATATATTAAGATAATATAGAATTTTTTTAAAGATTACATATACATACTTATTAATTAATTCAATTTTTAATTAAATATTAAAAATTATAATAATATATTTAATCATGAAATATTCAATAAACTTTTGGAATATAATTTTACCAAATAATACTCATGTTAATATATATTTAAAACATGATTTTCATCTATTATTTATCAAACATTGAAAGCATTCTATATTCCATACTCCAACTCATTTTCATAATTATATATTAAAAATATAAATGTTTTCCAAATGGAATCATAGCATTCTTTTAAATATAAATTCGGGTGTTGGGATGTTGGCATGGAGCTGTCATCATGTCACACTTTAGATTTAAAAAAAAGTCATCATTTCAACATAATTTACAAAAGATATTTTTCTATTTTGAATTCAAAATCCTTCTTTTTACAATGCTGAATATTTTCAACTCAAAAAAGGATTATAACTTCTTGTAAATATCATAAATAGCGAAAAAAATCTCCTCCACCCATACTATGGATCTATTACAAGTTAGTATGCTATTTTAATTCATTCCTAAATAATATAGAACTACTAATCATTTCTAAATCATAACTTTGAATAAAATTTTTAAATTCATCAAAACATAAAAGGCACGATGTATCAATCTCTTAACAACCCTTGATCAACATGAACCCTAATTAAAATAATTTAATTGACTTGAGTTAAATTAAATTCAATTAGGAACTAATTGAATCGACCTTTAATCATTATTAAATCGATCCATAACCATTATAGGTAAGTCTAATTTAGATTTAATCAATTTCAATTAAGTTAAATAAACTTAAAATCGATCAAATTGATCATAGAATTACCTAGCTTGGATTGGTCAAACTAATATGATTCAATTATAATTTTATTTATTTATATATCGAGATAATACAATTCTTTTTATAAAATTACATGTATATATATACTTATTAATTTAAATAAAAATATATATTCACTTTTGAATTAAATATTAAAATATCATAATAGTGAATTTATTATAAAAAATATTTAATAAACTTTTAGAATATATTTTTATCAAATAATACTCACGTTAGTATATATTTAAAATATAATTTTAATTTATTATTTATCAAACATTCGAAGCATTCTATATTTAAGACTTATTTTCATAATTATATAATAAAAATATAAATATTTCTCAAATGGCAATCATAGTATTTATTCTAACCAAAGCACATTGTTATCATCATTGTAATATAGAAATAATATAATTAAGCTTATTCAATTTTTATTATATGACAACACATTTTGGTCTATGATAGCTTCTCCGATTACCCCCCACCAAAGTAAAAGTTCCCCCACCAATCGGAGAATCAACGACACTTCCCTCAGATTCCTTTCCCCTTCTCCGGTCATTCGCCGACACTCGAATCGAGACTCCAAACAAAGGAGAAAAAGAAAGGCATCGCCGGCATCTCGACTTTAACCATTCACATAACATTCCGTTATCTTCATAAAATTATTTCCTACCTCAGAATCTCACGCGCATTGTTTACGCGAATTATAATTAGACGAAGTGGTGGGTCCACTTTTCGGTCTTTTCTTCAATAAGACTTCAGGAGATACGCAAGCCCATGTATGCCTATACGATCGCGTATAGTATACGCTTAGCTTCCATTCCGCGCTATAAATACCGAGGTAGCCGTGACCTTGTACTGCCTCAAGAAGCGCATTGCTTCTCTCTTAAAACCCTAAAGTAAAGAAGGCGATAGAGGCGGAACGGAAAGAGATAAGGAGGAGGAAGAAGACCAGCTGCGACCTCCTTTGATTCGTTTCTTCCCCGATCCCTCGTACGTTCGTCTCTTATTAATCTCTCTCGATCGGTCGTTCTTGTGGTCGGTTGGGGTTTCTGGTCGTTTGATGTGGTCGGTTCTTGTTTCGTCGTTGTTTCTTGTTTCTGATTCTTTGGGGTTGTGAGTAGCGGGCCGCTCTATATGATTTCGCGAAAAAGAGCTGTGGAAGGACAGATCGACGACGACCAGGCGGCTGCAGCGGCGGACGATACATTGCTGAAGAAGACGAGGGGGGACTGTCTGATCTCTTCGGCGGCGTTGGAAGGCACATCGGCGATGGAGGAGGAGAACAACCAAGCAAACGGAATGGAGGTCGACGAGGGCGGGCGCAAGCAGGCCGATATCGACGAGGACCTGCACAGCCGGCAGCTGGCGGTGTACGGACGGGAGACCATGCGCCGGCTCTTCGCTTCCAATGTTCTTGTTTCGGGCCTCCAGGGTCTTGGTGCTGAGATCGGTAAAGCTTCTTGATCACCCATCTGAAATTTGTGTTTGCATTCTTTAGTATCTATTTCTCTCGACAAGAAACCGGGTGTTTGTGGGGGTTGAGATGTAGATATAATAATACTTCCTTCGTGGGAGTACTGACTGGGACTTGAATGCATCTTTTAATCATTGTCTTGTTTTGGATAATTAACGTTTGTTGGCATTTTTCACCTTTGTTAATCGTTTAAGAATTTGCAGATGCGTTATATGTGCTGATTTGCATGATGATCTGTTGGACTGTCAAGATTACTTGATTGCACGACAGTTTTGGATGATATGTTAAATTGCAAGACAGTAATTGAGATATCACAAATTTTCTCGTTTGAAATTTCATTTAATTATCTCATACTCTAGAGCAGTGAGACTATGTATCTCCCCTTTAGGCCTTTGCTTCAGTATGATGTCTTGTTGATGGATTGGATTTTGATAATGTTAAATTTATCCGCTGAGATTTGTTTTACATTGAATGGTTCTTCTAATAAGAGGATGTCTATGTTACTTATTTTTACCTTTAGATAATTCATTTTCTCTTTCCTGTCCCGTTTGGCGGAAACATATGCAAGAAATAACCATATCTATGTTCTATTCTGTGTGCTTTGAGAGATGTAAAAATATTGTCAATTTTTAATCACGGAAATCTGTATCAGCAAGTTGTTTGTTAGGGTTTCCGTTTTGTGTTTATTGCATTGCAGTTTGCTCGTTCGTGTACTCATCATGACTCGTGAACTTTTTTCCTTGCAGCAAAGAATCTCGTTCTTGCTGGTGTCAAATCTATCACTTTGCATGATGAAGGGACCGTAGAACTATGGGACTTATCCAGCAACTTCTTTTTCTCTAAGGAGGATATTGGTAAGAATAGAGCTCTTGCTTGTGTTCTGAAGTTGCAAGAGCTTAACAATGCTGTGCTAGTTTCTACCTTGACTGGAACTTTGGCTAAGGAGCAGCTCTCTAACTTTCAGGTTTGTTAGCTTATAACAGTTTGTTCATTCATTATTAATTACCATCAACATTCAGTGCTCATACTCGTACTTTAGCATCACTTGAATTTTGCATCCCTTAATGTCAGTGATGCCATGCAATATTGTAGTAGTTTAAACTGTAATGTACGTTGTCATTCAGTGAATTTTTGTCTCCCCAGGGGGTCTTTGTAAGTTGTCAGAAATGCTTTGTCTCGATATCTATTGTTAAATTGGTTGCTTGAATGTCTAAGATTTAGCATGACTAGTTAAGTCTGTAAATGACTTCTTTTGATTGAACTAGAAATGTTGTATTTCACAGAGCATTAGTGGTGGGAAAATATCCATGTTACCAACCACAAGTAGTTGTTAGTTGCAACATTATGGTTGTTGTTGTGTTAGGATTTGTATATATTCTTCTTTCATATTATAGTATTCTGGTGGAAGTTCCCTAGTTGTTCTCATAGGGGTTCCTTTGTCCTGTTTAATTTACTTTTGCATAGCTGTTAAGTAAAGTTTATGAAGATTTGTTGTTTTCATAGGGTCATCTGGTTGTTATGTTAATTTGTAATCTGATAGTCATGTTAATTGGACAAACTTTTGTCATAATCAGGTGCATTTTGAATTTGTATGTGAAATTACATGGGGCTTTCATAAGCCTACAAAACGTATTCAGAGTGTTGGTGAATATTTCATTTAGTTGGTTGGTTGATGCTTATCACAAGAAGAGAATACGGCTTTTGATAGGAAGCTTTACTTGTTGCACAGGTTAATGTTTTGGTTATGGTGATTGTAATAAATTAATCTTAGCTAGTCGGATGAGATGAAAACAACTTATCAAGTTGTACATATCTTGAGGGTTATTACTACGTTCTATAAAGGCACTTCAATGAGTAGTGGTTTTCACCAGAAAAAAAAGAGATTGTGATTGATACAGTATGAAATGTACTATTACTCATAATCCATTTCAACTTTCATGCTGTTTTGTAAGTACTTTCTCGTGTCGGAAAAATGTCAAGATGGAAAATTATAGGGTGGGGTGAAAGCCTGGTGAGGCAGTACATTTCATGTTGTTCTTTTGTAACGTCCAAACAATTGATTGAACACAGTTCAATTAAGAAAATCTCCATTTTGTTGGTTGTGGTCCGTACTAGTGAGTAGCACATTTTATGTGCAAGAAATAAGCATGGGTTTTTTTTATTAATACAGCAGTTGCAATGTCCCAACTAATCATGGTCAACTACATGAATCTTTTCTTGGTGTTTAACTTTGTTGAGGGTGATATCACCAGTCAAACTAAGATCTATCAAGTTGTCCAGAATGACAGTTCCATAATTTTTGTTGTCAAAATAATTGAAGAAAATGGATGTGCCATGTCTCTGAGGGAGTACTGTAAAATTTTAGAAGAATACCTGCACAGAAGGTGCCAAGTATGATATCTTGTAATGTGTCCAGCATCTTGATTAAAGATGTTAGTCTCTTAGTTCATTGAGTTACTATTGGACAATAATTCTTGGACAAGTCAACATATAACTCATTAGTGTCAGCAATGTTCTTGATCATCCACCAAAGCATCTCAACTATTAGTTCTGTAATTTTAGCTTTTTATAAATTTAAAGTGCGCACTTGAAAATGGTGTATATGTGCTTGGAGTTTTAGCTGTTTGTCGTGTGTGCGTGTGTGCGCGCGCGTGTGATTAAAGCTCAACTGACTAACCTGCTGGTGCACAAGGTTGCAAATCTTCTCCTTTTGTGACACACATAGTAAGTAGCCACTGTTGAATCACATCATAGCAGTCATCAGCAGTATACCTTGGTAGCCACTGTTGAATCATGTCATAGCAGTCATCAGCAGTATGCCTCCCGTCCAGATATTCTGACTTCGTTCTTTTATGTTAAGTGTTTCATAGAGGCTCTTCCTTTCAGCTACTCTAATTTGCCCATTGATCACTTTTATCTACATTTTGTTTGCAGTGAAGAAATTTTTGAAAGCAAAATTTTGTTTGCTAATATCCAGTTAACTAGAATAGAGATCCTTGAAACACTTATAATTCTTTTCATAATCACATCATTTTCTTGGGCCCTTCTTGCAATTGCAGGTGACGAAGCTCTGGTGCCATCCCCTTGTCAGTTTTACTGATACTTCTTATTACTTAGAATCTTAAAGAAAAATTATCACAATAGACCTGCTTGTTGTTAACTACATCTCTAACACACCTCTATCACTCTTGAATCTTTGGTCTATTTTTTGAAGCTTCTAGATCATCTCCATCTTGAACTACCTAGTTCAAATCTGTTGCACTTCTGAAACCCACGTCTACTTCACTATTGATGCTGGTTCTAACATAAAATTGGGATGACCCTGTAACCATTTTTTCTTTTGAAAACTTGCTTAGGTTGTACTTCTATTAGAATTGATTGCTAGCATGTTTCTCATGGCTACCAGGTTTCCTCCATTTCGTTGGAATTTGTTATTCTTGTGTGTGGAAAGGAACTATCAAAGATGCACTTAGAGTTAATTTGGTTGGTGGGATTAAGGCCTCCATTGCTGGTACTTCTAACGGTTGAAATGATTTATTGAATCTTGAATGTATATTACATTTTTGTAGTTAATGCAAATAATGTGCAAGTCTTTGACATAATGCAAATGGCAAATTGAATGAGGCCATCTAAGAAAGAATGCAGTCATGCTATCAATCCTTAGGGAATTGATGTGTTTAATCTATATGCAGATATTAAGTACAAGTTGTACATATAGGTTTGCCTGTGCATGTGCTTTGTGAATCAGATGTGATAACTCCAACTCCATATTTGGAATTAGCTTCATCTCTTTAATGATTCAGTTTATTAGTTCTTTGACGTGACACTTTTATGTTTCTATAGCTTATCTTTTATGATGCTCTGTAGGCTGTTGTTTTTACTGATGTGAGCTTGGAGAAAGCAATCGAGTATGATGATTTTTGTCACAATCACCAGCCTCCAATTTGCTTTATTAAATCTGAAGTTCGAGGACTTTTTGGTAGTGTTTTCTGTGATTTTGGTCCAGAGTTCTCTGTTTTTGATGTTGATGGTGAGGAGCCACATACTGGTATAATTGCATCCATTTGCAATGATAATCCTGCAACGATATCGTGTGTTGAAGATGAGCGGCTTGAGTTCCAGGATGGGGATCTTGTTGTCTTCTCTGAAGTTGAGGGGATGACAGAACTAAATGATGGAAAACCCAGAAAGATCAAGAATGCAAGGCCATTTTCATTTACTCTTGAAGAAGACACAACTCAGTTTGGTTTATACAAGAAAGGTGGAATAGTTACACAGGTAAAGGAACCAAAAGTCCTCCAATTCAAGCTTCTAAGAGATGCTCTAAGAGATCCAGGGGACTTTCTTTTGAGCGACTTCTCCAAATTTGATCGTCCACCTCTGTTACACTTGGCTTTTCAAGCCTTGGATAAGTTCAGGCATGATATGGGACGTTTTCCTGGTGCTGGATCAGAGGATGATGCTCAACAGTTTATAGATTTTGCTGTCAATATCAATGAGAGTCTTGGTGATGGTAAGCTGGAAGAGATTAATAAGAAAATTTTGCAGCATTTTTCTTATGGTTCCCAGGCTGTTTTGAATCCTATGGCTGCAATTTTTGGTGGTATTGTTGGGCAAGAAGTTGTTAAGGCGTGTTCTGGAAAATTCCATCCACTTTTTCAGGTGAAATATAATATGGGGTTTTAATACCTTTGTTTATTTCATAGTTTATATGTTCCTCAACCATTTTCAGTTGTCCTGCAACCTAATTTGTCTCTTGGGAAATTTGCAGTTCTTTTACTTTGATTCACTTGAATCCCTCCCTGCCGAAGCATTGGAGGCTAGTGATTTTAAGCCTCTGAATTGCCGATATGATGCTCAAATCTCTGTGTTTGGATCCAAGCTTCAAAAGAAATTGGAAGACGCCAAAGTGTTTATAGTAGGATCTGGTGCCTTGGGTTGTGAGTTCTTGAAGAACCTAGCTTTAATGGGAGTTTGTTGCAGCCCAAAAGGGAAGCTCACTATTACTGATGATGATGTCATTGAAAAGAGTAATCTCAGTCGGCAGTTTCTCTTCCGTGACTGGAATATTGGGCAAGCCAAATCCACAGTAGCAGCTGCTGCTGCTGTGTCAATAAACCCTGATCTCCATATCGAGGCTCTTCAGAACCGAGCAAGCCCAGAGACAGAAAATGTGTTTGACGATGGATTTTGGGAGAGCTTAGATGCAGTTATTAATGCATTGGACAATGTAACTGCCAGAATGTACATGGATGGTAGGTGCTTATATTTCCAGAAACCACTTTTAGAGTCTGGAACTTTGGGTGCCAAATGTAACACACAGATGGTCATCCCTCACTTGACTGAGAATTATGGAGCCTCCAGAGATCCACCTGAGAAACAGGCACCAATGTGCACAGTTCATTCGTTCCCTCACAACATAGATCACTGTCTAACATGGGCCAGATCTGAGTTTGAGGGTTTGCTTGAGAAAACACCTAATGAAGTAAATACATTTCTAAAAAATCCAAATGCTTATGCTGCTTCTATGAGAAACGCTGGAGACGCCCAGGCTAGGAATCTTCTTGAACATGTTCTCGAGTGCCTTGATACAGATAGATGTGAGACATTCCAAGATTGTGTTTGCTGGGCAAGATTTAAGTGAGTCTCAGTATCTTTTCTAAATTTAGACACTGTTTTATTGTGTATGGTCATCTGTTTGCATCTATGCATGATAGCCGCTGATACTTTGAGATAGATGTTTTTCTTTTCTGATTTAATTACAAATTTTATATTAGGGGCTTTAATGCTTCTTAGTATTCAACTGCTGTTTACATCTCCATAAATGGTTTTTCTTTCTCAAACATTTTGTCATATTTTATGATAAGCGGATCTGGATTGGTTTTGTTAATCGAGGTAGATTCCTGGTTGTTCCAAAACTTGGTTTCCACCGTGTCCGAAGCCCTTTGTACCTGCATAAATAATTTATATATTCTCTTAAAAAATAAATGTTGTCGGTGTGTTTTGTATGGTAATTAAACTCAGTAGTTTAGTTGTCAAAACTTACATAATTTTAGCTCGTAGGACCATATTGTGTTTCTGAGGTTCTGTCATATTATATTATGTTTTTGCTTATGCAACTTTTTCTATATATATTATTGAATCAAGACAAATATGCTCCCAGGTTTGAAGATTACTTCTCCAACCGTGTGAAGCAGTTAACGTTTACCTTTCCTGAGGATGCAGCCACCAGCACCGGTGCACCTTTCTGGTCTGCTCCTAAACGGTTTCCACGGCCATTGCAGTTCTCATCAAGTGACCCCAGCCATGTTCATTTTGTTATGTCTGCTTCAATTCTTAGAGCTGAGACATTTGGAATCGTTGTTCCTGAGTGGGCCAAAAACCCAAAGACGTTGGGTGATGCTGTTGATAAGGTATTAGTCCCTGATTTTCAGCCCAAGACAGGTGTTCAAATTGTGACAGATGAGAAAGCTACTAGCTTGTCCGCTGCTTCCATTGATGATGCTGCAGTCATTAATGACCTTATCGCAAAGCTTGAAGAGTGTGCCAAGAAGCTGCCTCCAGGATTTCGTATGGACCCAATTCAGTTTGAGAAGGTTAGTTCTATTTCTTCCTGTGTATTATATAGATTTTATCAATCATGTTCGAACTTTAGGAGTTCCGTTCATGCTTTTTGAAATGTGCAGTGCTTTCTTTCACAATCAAAATTTGCACTTAAATGTGTTTGATTTCTCTTTAATGTGCACACTTTTCATAGTTAAATTCAGTCCAAAGTTTTTGAGGTCATGTAATATGTTTCTGCGTCAAATGTTTATGATGCTGCTCATCTCACGGAATCTCACATGAAATCGTTACTAGATGGATTTCATTATATGAAGGTTAATTTATGACTCCGACCACAACCAATCTTTTGTTCCATATCATATACCTTGATTATACCATGATTCTTCTGCTGTCCTCAGCAGTTGCTCTTAAAAATTGATCCGGTCATGTAATCTAACAAGTCTATGTTCTCTTTAGCAGTTACTTGTTGATTTGCACTCTATCAATTTGTTAAGCTGACGTGTAAAATTGGGTTCTAAACAGTTAGCTCTCTTTGCATTGACTGGCAATGTACAGGATGATGATGCAAACTACCATATGGATTTAATAGCTGGGTTAGCTAACATGCGTGCGAGGAACTATGGCATTCAAGAAGTCGATAAGCTGAAGGCGAAATTTATTGCTGGGAGGATCATCCCAGCGATTGCAACATCAACAGCAATGGCTACTGGTCTTGTGTGTCTGGAGCTATACAAAGTGCTAGCCGGTGGGCATAAGCTGGAGGACTACCGAAACACATTTGCTAACCTTGCACTACCTCTATTCTCCATTGCCGAGCCTGTTCCTCCTAAGATGATTAAATTCCGAGACATGAGCTGGACGGTGTGGGATCGCTGGATCATCCATGGGAACCTCACACTTGGGGAGCTGCTGCGGTGGCTCAAGGACAAGGGGCTGAGCGCGTACAGCATCTCCAGTGGTACTTCTTTACTTTACAATAGCATGTTCCCAAGGCACCGGGATCGGATGGACAGGAAGGTGGTTGATCTGATGAAGGAGTTTGCCAAGGTGGAAGTGCCTCCTTATAGGCGGCACCTGGATATTGTGGTAGCATGCGAGGACGAAGAGGATGGGGAAGATGTGGACATCCCACTGATATCAATTTACTTCCGGTAGACAGCATTTGAGATGGAAAGAAACAAATAGGAAGACTTGCATATTTTCAGCTAGTCAAAAAAAGAAAAAAAAAAAGAAGGAACCGCAGGAGATGGATTGTACGCACCATGCATGCAGTCCACTTGCATTTCTACAAGGCATTCACTGGACTGGTCTTCCACAGTCTTTCCTGTTGGTTTATGTTTCCGCTGTTCCATTGCTTGATCCGAGAGGTGTGGTGGTAAATGGGATATATTACATGATCGACAATGCTGCTGATGTGTGTCAGGTTTTGTGGTCGTCTTATGTCATGTCTAATACTCCACATTGACCTGGCAGTTCTGCTGCATGTACTTGATGTCCGTTTTAATGTCTTACATATGCTGCACCGTTTGCAGGAACGTTTCCGAGCTTTCACCTCCTCTTCACTTTGCTTTAAAAAGTGATAGGGATGAGAGGGGTCATGTAATTCGAGTGTGAATTGATCCCGGTGAGAGTTTCGTGTATGACAAATCTTTACGGAAGATTGTTGTCCGGAATCAATAAGACCTTTGTGCGGTTGCCCTCTGATGCCCAAATCCTTGTTTTCTTACCGTACTTGCTGCGTCTCCTTTGGACCATAAACCTTCCTTTCTTTTTTACCACACAAGAACATCAAATCATTTACATGTAGGCGGTCGCTATAACTTTGTGAAGTTATTAGAGGTTCTGCCAGGCATTTCTATTCATTCATTTATCCTTTTTCTTACAAACTCGATACGTCGGAAAAGTTACAAGTTTGAAAAATCAAGGGACGAGTAAAACAAAAAGCCAATTTACCAATGAAATCATTCAAACAACGGGGGCATATAGCATCCATGACAATGATATTCCATCACGCACTCAGACGACACCACTCCAATCAATCATACAAGAGAGAGACTCCACCGACTTGACACGACCCCATCATGACTTACAAAGTCATATTTTTACACACTCTTTGCTGTCCCTTAAAAGCATGGGAACTTCTCCAACCCAAGTAAATATATCATATACCCTCTCCTCTCCTCCTCCGCTACCATCAATCCTCCGACTTGGTAGATTGCTCAGCTTTGGCTTCCACCTTAGCTGCAACTTCCTCCTCCGCAGCCGCCGCCTTTGCTTTTTGGCTTCCATCGACGCTCAACTTGTCCAGAAGCCCAGCAGCAGCAGCTGCCGCATCCTCGCTCTCTTCCTCTTCCCTCTCTCCAAGCGATTCAGTAATGCTTTCAATCATCTCCATGAATTTCTTGCAGTCTGAACCAAAAGACCAACTTAAGTAGGCGGGGAAAGAAGACACAAACACTGAGGGCAGGTGGTGACCTATGAGAGTAAAGGAGGTAAGCCAGGCCCCCTTTAAACATAAAAGCCAAGAAAGACTATTCTACAGTTAAGCAAAATAGACAATTTGTCTAATTGCGTACAAGTCTGTCCATACATATACATGAATCTCTACAGTATGTATATGTCGGTAAAAGAAACATCACGTGTGGCGGGGTCTTAAGTCTTTCCAAAGTGCCCACACAAGCAGACATTCAATTTTCATCATGAAACCAAACATCTACACTATCATCACAAGGCTAAACGCTAAACGCTTGTTAAATTGAACTTCCAAACCATTCATTTCAACTACTATCCATAGTTCAACAGACTCTGCAAGGTATTTCTACAAGTTGTGATCATGGAGCAAGAAAATTTGATCTTCACATACTTTAATCTCTGACAAGAATAATATACAGTCCACCAAAAAAAAGTTTATATTAATATGATTGCTCATGCATGTATGGGTATACGGTGCGGGTGTGCATGCCAATACAGCATTCAAGAACAGCTTACTCACGTGGACTCTTAAATAAACTTCCAATCACAAGTGTTTCACCTTAAACCACTAAAAGATCAGATAAACCATGTATTGCTTCAGCAATCAAGAGAATGAACCAAGCAGTCATGGTTGCTTCATTTTTACCAAGAAATTCCAACCAACCTCAAATTCTCTTAGGAAACATCTAGAAGGATAACTCAAGAATGAACATTCAAAAAGGTTGGTTTAAATATAAACTTGACATACTCATATCAAACATTTATTAAAATAAGTAGTATAAGATCCATCTGCTAAAGCTTACAAATATTTACGATAAACATTCAAAGAGCCACTTCTCAAGAATCACTGACTTCATGTTAACACGAAAAACAAAAACAACAAAAATTCTTGACCACTATCCGAGTACAATAAGATCCATCTGCTAAAGTTCACAAACACTCGTGATAAACATTCGAAGAGGCTATGTCTCAAGAATCACCGACTTTCCAGAACTGATGAACGGCAACTTCATGTTAACACCAAAATAATAACAAAAACTCTTGACCACTATCTCAAGTGTACAGAATTTCTTATCATTTTATTTCAACTTCGATACTTGATTTGTACTTCAATGTCGATTACCAGGCCTAATTACAGATTATATCACATCTTGGGACGTTCAAACCAAACCGTTAAGGGCCGAACCAAACTGAATCGTTTCTTTGGTTCAGTTAAAGTAAGGTAATCCAAAACAGAACCGATTCGGATCGATCTAACCAAACCAATTCAAAATCAATTAATCCACGGTTAACTGATTTATAATTTCAAATAATTTTTAAAAATATATTTTTTAAATGAACAGGTTCAATTCAATTGAACCAAACCGGAATCTTGGACCAATTGGACGTTGCAATAATATTTGTGAAATTGAACTCACATTATTTGTAAAATTAGGCATTTGAGCTAGTTTTATTAATCAATTTGAACCAGTTAAGTTAATTTTCATCTGAACCACCCTGTTTCTGGTTAGCCTCAGTGGCCAACCCTTCTAATCCCAACCAATCTGATACAGAACCAAACCAAGAGATTTCAGCCAACCTTGGTTATGATCAACTTACAGTGATTTCCACAAAAAGAACACCCCTCAATTTAATTAAAACCTAAATGCTACAACCAATCATGATCCTTCGAACCTATGAGAAAATGGTTCCTTTGATGTCTTAAAAGGAATGCAGAAAAGGAAAGAAAAAAAGAGAGAATGAAATAGGAAAACACATTAAAAATGGGTTATGTTGGAATAAACAACATAAAAGGAATATAAAACAACGCTAACAATCATAATAAGAAGGAAAAAAAAAGGAAAATAATCTAAAACACTATAATGAAAAAAACCAATTGCTAGATGTAGATATAATGACAAGAACTTTCAAACAGCCACGAACAATTGCAAGCAGGAAGATGATGAACATACTCACTTTCAACAGAGCCGAACCGAATGCAGAACATCTCCTCCTTGAGTTCCCCATCGGCGAAATCGGACGCATGCCACACGCACGACTTATCGTTCCCCGCGTGTTCCTGAATCTTGATCGACGGAACAACTGAGACAGCAACCACAAAATTACACACACCGATCCGACGATAAACATAGAACCAAAAACCAAGAACGGAAACAAGCGGTCCACCTAGATGGTTGGCGCAGATCTTGAGGGTCTTGGCTTGGCGCATCACCAGCCGCACCTTGCCCGTCTCAGTGTGCTTCAAAAGCTTCACGCTCCCCGAACCCCTCTCCTTCCACTGGTTCCCATCCTTATCGAACCGGTACAGCTTCGCCTTCCTGAAAGCGATGAATCGAGAAAATCAAACCTCGAGATCTCCAAGAAACCCAGAGCAATGGTGCGCATCGAAGGAGAAGAAAGCTTACAGATCGAGAAGGACGTCCTCTTCCTCCTCGCCGGTGGTGACGGCCACCTCCGAGAGGGTGACGATGGGGGCGATCTGAGCGCCAGTGTCCTCATCGTCGCCGGCGGCAGCCTCCTCCTGGCGATCGGGATCGTTGCTCGCCATTAAAGGAAGTAGATCGACTCGAGAAAATAGGACGCCGGTTAGGGTTTGGGATTTATACGGGGAGGTGGCGGTGGGAGTACAACAACGCTCATAGAAACTTTTATGTACGGATATAGATATACCGTCTGATGTTTACCGGTGGAGATATTAAGACCGTTGGATTGCCATGTGGTTACGGAGAAAACGGACGAATGAGATCGACAAACTATTTAGATGGACGGAGATTAGGTGACTTTGGACGCACAAGAATCATTCACGAGTAAAACCGGAGCCAGCTCGCGAGGGATGCCTCTCACGTGCTAGGCACGTGATATATCAATATTTGCCAGCCGAGTTTGCTGGCGTTTGGTAACAAATACGAACGATTACTTGAGGCTGAAACAGCAAATATACCGATAACATGACGTTGGCATCATTTATGTTGAGTATATACTGAGCATGAGCATCACATAACCTTTCTAAGGTTGAAGTTGGAATAGGAATTGCTTGCATATATGTCTATAAACAAGTATGCTAGAAAATATTTTAAATGGTTTCATCAAGTAAAATAAATCACTGCAACCATTCAAATATAGAAGATGGAAAATAGATAAATGATGAGCAAGATTACAAAAGATAAAAAGAAAAAATTTCAAACATACACATATTACCAAGTCAGAGTAGGTTTCAGAAGATTAGTTTCTCTCATATTTCCAAATAGCAGTATTCTCTCTATGGGAAAAATAGAGATGGGACAGCCACTATTTTAGAGAACCCAACACCCATGACTTCTTTTGCATCTATACATAAACACAAAATTAGGTTAAAGATGGATTGAAATGTACTTGATGCATACAGATGGCAACACCATTAACACTAATCTAAAATTACTAAGCGTATAAACAGTGGCTAAAGTAACACCCATACTCAGTCATCCAGGGTCAACTACCATCATAAACAAAATGATGGCTAAACTTGGTGTCAGCATCACAGAGAGCCAAGTTGCTGGCTGTCTGTCTTGCTTATTTGGAACTGCAACTAGGACACCTGTATCGCTTCGTTTTCTCAGCCTTTGCGCGGGTCATCTTTACACACTTGCCATGGAACGATCTTTCACATACATCACACTGGATCCAGAAATTTGAACGATGCTTGGTACCACAGGATCCACAGGACGTCGCACTGATTTCATTGGCATCTTCGTCAGAGCCATTATTGACAGTTTTTAATCTCTGAACAAGAATGGAGTTATTTGGCAAACTGTCATAGTAAAAAAGAAATAGAAAGCAACTGTGGAGATGTAGCAGCACCTTAGAGGACCGCATAGGTTTGCTTCCTCTGTCTACACGGGTGTTCTTCTTTGTAAGCTGATGACTGCAGAAGGCTTCGAAGATAGTAGGCAGATCGTTGATCAAGTTAAACAAGCGTTTCCTGAAAATTCGGAAAGAAAAATGAGCTTCAATTCTTGCAACAATGTGTTCTCAGATGCAGCACCAACACAAAAGATATACGATAAATGACAGCTGAGATGGTTTTGAACAGAACTTTTCTATGCTGGTTCACTCTCTAAAATGGTTCATACAGCATATTAAATGGTATTCTATACCATCAACAAAACTTCCATAACATCTACCCAACCAATAAACAAATTGGGCCAACAAAATTTGACTCTAGTTACACATTTCAATATGAATGTCACCTCTTCAAAAGTACATGTCCAACTGTGAAATAGCATGAAACATGATAGTTGGGCGACTCTTGCAGAGTCCACGAATATTGAATCACATTATTTTCAGCAACAGAGATCACTTGCTAGGTTGGGTGTACAACAGAACAATCATGATGGCGTCAGGTCGAGTCAAAAATTTAGATGAAAGGCCGCTTGCATTTTATATTTAGGATTCTGTCATGTCAAGAATATTTTCTGGATTGTTGAGTCATTTGGATCAGGCCTATCACGATCCAAAATCAACATTCAGTTCCAACATAAGCTCTTGTCATTCAACTTCACAGAGGCAATGAAATATATAGCGAAATTTAGGAGTAGGACAGAGTTGAATTTGGTGTGAGGACCAGTAATAAATATCAAGGAAGAGGACTGAAAGGATGATAGAAAGCAGAAATATGAGGAAGTGATACAGCAGTCATTGCATCACCTACTTTGTGCTTTAAGATGAACCATCCTCCCAATAGCATTGATAAGTACTATAAACCTGATTGTCTCAATGAGAATGGTCCATATGTTAGATACTTTCAGCCTAAGAAGTATAGTTATCTTGTTATTTGGTCTCTGCTTGTAAAATTTGATGAATATGAAAAGGAAATGAGGTAATCAATTGATTGGCCCAGAATGCTAGAACGATGAAGTTTTCTTGTTTTTGAATGAGGTAATCAATTGGTTGGCCCAGAATACTAGAACGACCAAATTTTCTTGTTTTTGGAGAGGGGAGTGGCCCTCCCAGTCAATCCAGTTTTTGAGTCCAGAGTCTACAAGCTTATTTTGCGATGTTCTATATAGTTAATATATTTATCCTTTTTAGCCAAAAAAAAAACTCAATAAACCAACTCAATTGATCTATAACATGTGATGTGGGGCAAAACCTGAAGTGTCACACTAGCACTCTGAAGGTCAATATCAATCAGGAGTTTCAAACAATGATCTAAGGTCTCTGAAACTCCTCACCCGAACAGAAGTATCAAATTTTAAAACTCCAAGTGGACATAATTAACTTTGCTAACCAAGTCTGTCATGTCAAGCATGTTGAATGCTAATTGACAACAGACAAAAGTTAGATGTTTCCTTGATGACTGCATCCATTTGAGGTACAACCGTCGGATAGAAGTAACAAGAAGGTTTGGTTTCCCGAGAAGGAAATTATAAGCTTGCGAAGATATAAAAATTGGATAGAAGTACAATAATGACAATAAAACCATTAGTCCCAATCATTCGGGTCGGCTACATAGATTTTGGTAAAAATAGGATAGAGGTAGACGATCTCATTCTTTCATTTTATTTTATGCTCAAACCAAATATAAAAGGTACGGGTGGAACTTGCAAATTTATAAAGGCCTATGCACATATCGTGAAGCTTGATTCTGATAGCATTTAAGTTTACTACCACAATTAATTAAAGATCGATTGGAGTTGAACAAGTTTTAGGCTTGACAATAATTTAATGCACAAAAGGTTTTTAACTAGAGCAAAAAAATAAAATAAAGGTGAAGTAACAACATGTTTCACATAACCATAAAAGAATATATATTAAAAAAGGCAAAATTATCTTTGTTTAAAAAGTAACCCCACAAGTTTGCTACGCTATGATAATGAAAACACAAGTGTAATTGGGACAATGTCATGATTTCGGAAAACCAATTTCAGAAAGTCTTAATGTATAGAAGAACACATATTATATTTTTCCTAAATAAAACTATGACATGGAAAATTCACGTTATATTTTCTCATGATCAGCTCCACAAAGTTTAACATGATCGATCACCCATCTCAAACTGCGGTTCGAAGTTAACGCACCCTTAGGAGACAAGGAATAGCACTAGTGCATTAATAATTTCTAAATATCCAATGGATGACGTGACGCATTAATAGTCAAAAGCATACTCGCAATTCACGACGCATAAGAAGAAAAGGGGCGGAAAGAACAAACCCTAGTCAAATTCAAGTCAAAATCCACGGCATACCTTTCATCGCCGCTGAAGCGCGCCGCAAAGAAGAACGCAACAGAGAGGAGCCAGCTGTCGCTATGCATCGCGACGCGCGAGAGCCAGTCCCACCGCTTCGGCCCGTTCCTCGCGAAGTTGATCCCCAGCGTCGGCTCCGGCATCTCCGGCGGCACCTCCTCAGGCGGAACGTTCACCTCCCACGACCCATCCGGGTGCCCATACAGACAAAGATTCTCCCTCTCTGCACCCAAGACCAACCAAATAAACAACTTAAAGGGAGGCAGATCCAACAAGAAATCACCTAGAGATAGAGACGACGGAGCGATGGAACCCACCCGGATGGCAGAGGGCGTAGAGGTCATCAACTTCTGAGAGAAGACAATAGATCCAAAGGACTAAGAAACCAGAAAGGCGCAAAGGGATAAGAAGGGCACAGAGAGGGGGAGGGGAGAAGTACCGGCCGTAAGAGCGCGGACGAGGCCGCGGTGGCGCCCCAAGTAGTCCCTGAAGACTTCCTCGACAGTGCTCGGAGCCGGCAAGGACGCGACCATCTCCATGGCGGGCGAGCGAGCGAGCAAGCAATCGAGAGTGCGAGATGGAGGGTTCGTGCGGCGGGTTTTAGATGGAAGACGTATATAGGAAGAAGGAAGAGAAGCGGAGGAACTGGTCGCCGAAATCACGGAGGTCCGTTAGTGTTTCGCATATGTCCCATCGGATTTGCCTATTTATACTGTATCTTTATACTTTGCCTAATTTACATGTGTACCTTTTGATTAAAACTATAATTAACATTAATATTCTTTATCTTTTTAGGGAACATTAAGTTCCCATGTGGAACTTAATCTTTTTATGAAACAGAATATGTAATACTATTATTATTATTTTTTGTAAACTATATATAAATACTATATTATTATTATTTTTGTAAAGTGTTAGTTGTATTATATTATTATTTGTCGAGGTAAATTTTAAATTTTGCACAAAAGAAAAAGTAGATTTTTAAGATTTGACGAGAACTTATCTTTGTGTCCGACATCCGATGAGCAGTTGTTTGTGGACTTGTAACTATTCGTTCTACATTCTAAAGTCATTGTTTTCTCCTTTCTCTGTTTTCTCTCTTGTACTCAATGTGCTTGCTGAATTGTTTGTAAAGCTTCTCTTTCCGTGAGACGTCGAGATTTGTCCGTCATTCGTTTTTAATCTAATCAACTTTCTGTTTTACAGGTCTTTCGGGACCTATACGAGGTTGCAACTGAGCTGAACATTTACGGACACATATGTCGCAAAGGCGCCTCATGACTTAGGCAATCCTAGCTAAGTCCGAGGAGTTGGCGTAAGGGTGCTTCACGACTTAGGCAACTTCAGCTAAGTTCGTGACGTTACCGTAATAGTGCCTTACAACTTAAGTAATTTCAACTAACTCCGTGACATTGTGATATCGACTTTATTTATAAAGATCAAAGTCGAGTGCGATTCTCCACATACTTCCTATAATATTCTAGTCAACTATAAAATACGAAAATTTTAAGTAACATTAGTTGACGCCATATATCTTGGTCAATTCTCTATCATCTTAGTTTGATTGAGCTATCACGCATCGAACTTCGATTGCGATGAATATCCTTTCTATCATCTATAATAATAATAATTATTATTAAAAGATAATTGAAATAGTAAATTTTATATTATTAATCTACTCATATATGATAAGTTTTGCTCACATATCAATTTTTATATTTCTATGAATGACAACTAACAATTTGGTTGTGAAATCCGAGATATATATTAGTATGGGCTTTGCAACGACTAATATTGGCTTATAAGATATAGTAGATTAGTCCTACATTAGCAAAGAACAAGATTGACTTATGAGGATTAGCAAAGAACATGATTAACTTATGAGGATTTAAATGCACTTCATGCAAAAAAAAAAAAAAAAAAAGCAGAGCTTCATTCTAAGATTTTAGATTTAAATGCACTTCATGCAAAAGAAATTAAAGACACTCGTCAAATTTCTTCACCTATGTAATCACAATATGGCAAAACCTTGGGGCATGCAATCACTATATAATCTCTCTAACACAAAAAGTGTAGAACACTTGGATCATTAGCATGGCTGCAGATTAAAAACACTTGATGGAGCTGTCCTATTTGCTGACAAACATCCTCACATCAAAGACAGAAGTAACTTGCTCCCTTTCTCAAAACAACCTACAACATAAATGACCAACTTCATCAGGGTATTCAAAAGAAATTTCCTGAGATGCATACTGATTCCATTTACATAATAAAACTTAACCTGATCATACCTCAGAAAACAATAGGATTAACAAAATTACAGTTATTTCACAAGGAATGGCAGATGCTACATTACACAGACAGGTACAGCAATCTACATTGTCAGTTTAGGATAATTCGTGAAGGAAGAAGAACTCCAGGTGCATGCTCCGCAACAATTGCATCCTCACAAGCGACGAGTCTAAGAATTTTGTGGCTTGATAGGTTGTGCTTGTGTTTCAACTCAACAAAACTCCTTCCAAGAACCTGCTCAAACCAGCTATTTAAAGCTCCTCTATCTTCTGATGACCATGCTACGGCAAGTATCTCCTCCATGACCTTTGTGTCGATCTCCAAAATACAGTCTGAACCAGCAGCAGTACAAAAGATCTTGCTTATATCATTCAGTATGCTGTCAGCAAGGGCGTCAAAATCGAAAGGACCAAATTTCACTGTTGCATCGACTAGGTTGAAGGAGTCTTCCATCCATGTCCCTGAATTTTCTGATTTAGAGCAATCTTCCTGACTACTAGAATCGTTATCATCCTCCCCAACCTCTTCGATGGGCAGATTCAAGTCTAAGAATTCTTTTGATGTTTTGCGAGCCCTTTTTGCCGGCACCACCTCATACTGGCTGTTGCAGCCATCAGACATATCGAGTTTGCGCTTGGTTGCTGGGCCTGAGCGTAAATAAACTTGAGCGTTCCTGGGTTTTTGACTTGAAGCACTTGACACCTTATTAGATTTCGGACTGCTGCTAACAGCCTCTCGAGAAGGTTCCCAGGAAATCTTCATCTGCCAACACTGAGCTGCCAGAATAGTCTCCTCGGAGAAACTATTGCAATCTGTCCTCTGAGAAAAAGTTTGACCTCGAATTGTTGCTGAAGTCAGAATAAATATGGCATTGTTTATGCTGAATTCCCTTCCATGGGAATCAGGAAATTTGCCAGTATTGATAGCCTGAGATAAGCTGTCCTGAACAAGAAAGTCAGCTTTATCTACATTTTCAAGGAATACAACAGACTGTGGTTTTTTTCTTAGCTCAGCAGCAATATGGTCAACATTCATTTTGTCTCTAAACTGTGCATAATTTCCATTGACCTCCTGTTGGGCACAGATGGTGGTACCAGGACGAGCAACACCTTCTTGGTAACTTAGGTCAACATGCACGAAGTTTTCTTTGCTGCCACATAACATTTCTGCAATAGCCACTGCTGCCCTCTTCTTCCCAATCTTATCTGGACCATGAAAACTGAGCCAAATGTCGCCTCTCAGGCTAGCACCACGACGCCTTTCACCAGTTCTGCAATGGACTATAGCTTGACTAATGGCAATAGCTGCTTCTTCTTGTCGGCCAACTTTCTCAATGAGACTTGCACAAAATGATTTGTAACTGCCTAAATCTAACTTTTGCCATGCACCGGATGAGATGAGGGAGGCTCTGTCACATGCAGATGCACAACCCTTCGAAACCTGTGAAAATGAGTGGGACAGATCATGTGGATAGGTCTGTGTTGCCTGGGAATCTCGACGGCCTGAGAAAGAAAGAGACATAACAGGAACATCTGGGACATTTTGTTTGATGACATCAACCTTCGTTGATGGCAAACAACCAGACAATTCCACCAAAGGATTTTTTTGCACTTGTGAAGCAGGGTTTTCCTCCTTCCAAACAGGTTCACAAAGAGTTCCCAAAACCAAGTTTGTCATAACAGATGTTACAGAGGAAGGTGAAGCGTGATCATCACCATGGTGAGGTTGCAACTCCTCTCGCTTAGGCTGTTCACTTTTGGAGGCTCTGACCTGAAGTTTTGATAATAAGTCTTTATTTCTTTGTTCTAAAACTGAAGGCAATGAGATACTCTGGCTCGCTGTGGTAATCGTCTGTGTACCTGCTGAAATAGGAAATGAAATTCCAAAACCTCTTTGACTCTGAGCATCATCAAGATTTTCACTATTCTGATTGAAGGCCCTTCCCATGTTAGAAACACAAGATGGATCAATAACGCGAGGGACTGTAGAGCAATTGTCTATATTATTTGTCTGGCAACTATGGTGGAGGCGCTGGCAATTCTCATTCCACTTCTTTTGCAATTCCATAATTTTAGCATTGAAAAATGTAGTATCATCTTTAGCCTGCACTGAAGAAAACCACAACTTTTACCCAAAAAGGAAGAAAAACAATCATAAATGCAACTGTTGCTTCATTTTACGCAAAGTAACATGACCATGTCATGACATATATGGTGGTTCAACAAAAGCTTGCGAATCAGTTTAAGACGTATAACCTTACTAGAAAATATACCTTTGCTGCATCGAATCCATCATTCAAGCTAACCTTACTACCCTTTTGCAACCAGAAGGGCAAGCTTGCATTCTGCTGATCATCAACTGAAGCTGATTTTCCTTTTAGAACAATAGAAACCTCTTGCTCGTACTTGTCATTGCAGTCCTCACAGCGGGACACTGATGGATATACACCATAAGATTCATGTTCTATAGGGACACCTCCACCGATTGGAGCAAATGACTCCATGAAGCTGTAATATTATCATTCATGGTTCAGCTTCCAGGAATACATGCAAAAGAAAGCATGCACATCATCAAAAGTTCAAAAGATGAAGCCATTCAGAGAAGTACCTTCAAGCAACCAAAACAAATCTCAGACTCAAGTCTTACAGACCCTTTTATTTTACTGTAGGGCATACCTAAACTAGAACCTTGCCAATTATGCATTGCTTAGCAAATAAGACATACTTAAATACTTGGCTAAATGTTATGTCATAGCTGAAAAAGTGACTTCAGTTATAGAAAGCTAAACATCCTTTCTACAGACATTGAATCTTCAAAGTCTAAAAGAGAAAAAAAAGTACCACCAAGAAATTAATCAATCAGAATGAAACTCGCAGATAATGGGCAATCTAGCGGTACTCCAAGCTTTGGAAAAAGTAAATCTTCCTTCAGAAGATTGATGTAGCAAAAAAAGTCTGTCTGTAAGTATTGATGTTTCCATATGCCTAAATCATATTCTGTATCACTCTTTTCTTTCTGTTGCACAAACTAGTGCCAAATTAAATCCAAACTAGTAGCATTTGCTTTTGCATCTGCACAATTAAATTCAATATAAATGAAACAAATGGAATATTGTGGTATAAACTGTGCAGAGGTACAAACAGGAGGCTTTGTCCAATGCTCAGTAATGATTAAACTCTTTTCTGCAGTTAGGCTATCAGGCTAATAACAGGATCAAGATTCAATTAAACCAACATAGTTTTTTTATGAATGGTGTTAAGAAAAATGTTCACCTCCATAGTTCATTATTTTTTTTCAATTTTAAATAAATGACATTATAAATAAATCACACTTCTTAATAAAAGGTTACTCTTTCTTTTTTTTTTTTAATAAAAGGTTACTCTTTCTTATTTGCAATATAGGTATTTGGTTGTAACCTGTCACTACAAAATTTAAAGTGCAATGCAACATACTGTTGTCGAAGTTTTACATCCAGACAATTGCTTCAAAGGTACATGGTTCAGAAGCCAAATGATGATTCATCAATAGATTTTTTATTTTACTATATTCTGATTTCTAAAATCTATATAATGATAAATTTTGGTTGGAAACATACTTGTGGGGAACAGAATAAACTTTGGATTAACAAAGTGAAGTAATACTTTGTCCAGTTCACCAATGCTAGCATCAACCTGAAGATTTTGTTATTTACAGCATGATACTTTCATATAATCCAAGGATTTCGTTTATGTCTCTTTAATTAGATTATCTTTTATAACTGGTCCTGCCATGGGGGAAGCAACAAACAATATCTAGATCTACTAGCTACAAACAAAACGATGATGTCTTTCTACCGTAAAGTGGTAGCCAACAATTATTTGAAATTGCACGCCTTTCTCCCTTTTTGCTTTCGTTGCAAATCAAATATTGTTTGCAGTCTACCTTCACAAGTGATGTTTCTAAAAAAAGATACACATTTGCTTAAATTTAGTCCTACATATCATTATCTATGTGAAAAAAAAGGCAACAGCTTGTTTCTCATTGTACTTGGAAGAGGGAGTAACAAAAATAAATTCAGTGTGCTTTTTCCTAAATGATTTTCTTACTAAACACCATAGATTTTAGTGAATGAAAGAAAATGGCACAGTGAAACAAGAAGTCGATGATGAAGACACCTATCAGGTTAGAACTGTATAAAACTACTTAGCAATTCAGACATCAATGCATTCTAATATGCAACCCTTAGTTTCAACAAATGGCATCCATTTCTCAAGGATGAGAAACCCCAATCTCTAAGAGCTTAAAAATCCCATATGTATATGGAAAACAAAGACAAACAGTTCATAATGAAGGTTCAGTTTCAAGACTAAGCAGGAGAAGACTATTCAGACATCGATGCATTCTAATATGCAACCCTTAGTTTCAACAAATGGCATCCACTTCTCAAGGATGAGAAACCCCAATCTCTAAGAGCTTAAAATCCCATATGTATATGGAAAACAAAGACAAACAGTTCATAATGAAGGTTCAGTTTCAAGACTAAGCAGGAAAGACTATTCAGACATCAATGCATTCTAATATGCAACCCTTAGTTTCAACAAATGGCATCCATTTCTCAAGGATGAGAAACCCCAATCTCTAAGAGCTTAAAATCCCATATGTATATGGAAAACAAAGACAAACAGTTCATAATGAAGGTTCAGTTTCAAGACTAAGCAGGAGAAGACTCAGCTGGTAAAAGGAGGAACTAAGAATAAGAAACAGATAGAAATCACTAGTTCACCCACCTGCGAGGCTTTGGGAGTGAATTCCCCATCCCAGTTCTTACTGAACTGATAGGCAGCAACTGCAGATCCCAATCCTTATCCAGCAATGGATGCCTGGACAAGAACTTCATGTATGTTTCGTATGTTGCCGACCACCCCATCACCCACAGCCTCCCATGGTAGACCTCCAGCAGTCGCGTGAGCTCCGATACCAAGCAGCTTTCGCTCTCATCACGTTCTGCACCACCTTCCACCATCCCCTTCAAATCCCCAATGTTCAACACCACTCCTGAAGACTCTGCCTTCCTTCCTACCTCCTCCAGCCCAGCTTCCAACGCCAATCGATCACCGTGATCAGTTCTGAGCTCCGCCACCACCTTCTCGATGCTTACGAGCTCGATTCCACGCAGCTCAGGGGGCAAAATTGCCCAATTCTGCCGCTCAATAGCCTGGGAGAAGTCGCTAGCTGCTTCGCCGGCACCGACCCCGACCAGCATCGGATTCCGTCCACCGCTCTTCCGGGCGAGGATTTCCCCAATCCTTCTGCAATTCTCGTCGCCCCCGTCCGAGGAGAGCTGCCGGGCCGCAGCGGCGAAGGGGAGGACGAGCCCCCGTGGGGCGAGCGCCGGCTCGAACCCATCCCCCGCCGAGAAATTGCACAGGAACAGCGGCGGGCGCCTCGCGGCACGGGGGAAGCGGAGGATGGGCGGTGGGGGCCGGAGGATGGCGAACTTGATGTCCGCGCTACGGAATCCCGCATCGCCGAAAACCCGGCTGACCACGGGGTCATCCAAGATCGCGAGCATCAGCTGCTGGAGCTCCACCTTCACCCCGGAGAACGACGAGGCCCCTCCGGCGGCGGCGCCCTGCTGCTGCTGTTGCTGGTACAGGTGGAACGTGTCCGGATTCCGCCGCTGGTTCGCCTGCGACCGCTTGATCGCCGCCATCAGCGAGTTCGACACGGGCGGCTCATCCCCGCCCCCCTCCGCGTTCTGCCGCTGCCCCGAAGGCAGCCGGTCGAGCGCCACCCCGAAGCAGAGCTCAAGCGCCTTGAACTGTAGCCTGGGCGAGTATGCAGCGCTCCGGGCGCGCGACAGCGCATCACGAAGTATCGAACACGACGCCGACGAGGAATACGAGGAGGGGGGCGAAGAGGAAGAAGTGGAAGAAAGGAGCGAGTAGACGACGTGGAGGGAGGTGGTCTGGGCGTGGGAGCGGCGGCGGGCGACGGTCACGCCGTTGTCGAGCGCGGCCGCCGCCTCGGCCGCTAGGCACGCGCGCGCACTGCTGACCGGCGTCGGCATCCCGGCCGCCACCAAGGACCATATACTAACAATAACTTCCCGCAATATAAAATTACTCCCCTTGCGAATATAATATTCTCGCGGGGCGTCTTTGCAAAGATGCAAATATATATACACACACACACTACCACTACGCCTATTATTATTACGAGACTGCTCTCTTGCGGCACTCCGAGAGAGAGATAGAGAGAGAGGGGCGGAGAGATCGGAAGAGGAGTTGGTTGCATGCGTAAAGGGAGAGGGCGGGGCGGGCCGTGGCATATGAAAGGGAGACGGAAAAGTGGTGGGAGCAGGGGTCGTGGGCCCCACGGCGACAGACCAGGAGACGAGAACCAACGAGGCGGGCCCCACGGCGCTCTATCTCATCTGCCTCGCCAGTATCTTCCGACTCTTTTTATTTTCCCGTTCTTATTTTTTCTGCCGTAATATCTCCTCCCGCCAAGTGGAGGACGCGAAGCGCCTGCCGGCTGTCGCCGGCCGTGGGGCCCGATGTCACGTAATCCAAGGTCGCCCCTGGAGGGTTTCCGGGGTGACTCGCCCCTACGGGAAGTACGCCGCCCGGGGCGGGTGCGGTGCGCGAGTGGAGACGTCCGAATCGGCCACGTAGGCCACAGCGGGACTCGTATTTTATTCCCATGGTTGCTGCGCCGGCCACGCAATTTATTGGCATTTTAATGTGCTAAATGAAATGACGTTTTGATTTGGATGGACGAACAAGATTGGAGTTTGGTTTAGATGGATGGATAAGCATGAGGAGCATAAATGACTTTTCGGATTGACATCAATTAAGCTTTGACTTGACGTCTCTAAAGTTTTTAGGTGGGTGGCAAGTCAATGGCTACGCGTACAAATATATATATATGGCCACTCAGTCAAATTACTGTAGTCGCAGTTGCAGCAGTCACCCGATTAACCCCATCTCTCTCTCTCTCTCGTCGTTTGTGAGTATGGCTTCTTGAGAGTGCAGGGGAGGAGAAGGATGATGTACGCATTCGGAACCGCCAGCTTTCACGGCATTATTGGGATGGCTTTAGGAAACGGCCTCCTCCTTCGACACGCACTCAACCGCCATTGCCATTCTCTCTCTCGCTCTCGCTCTCCGGCCGCCATTTCCAAGGGAAGCCGAGAGACGACACGCCTCGCCCCACCAGGAAGAACGCGGAAGCCAAAAAGGAGCGCAGGATCCACCGTGACCGTCCATTGGTCATCGCCTTGAGTCAGTCGACATGATGGGATGACAAAAAGCCATGGATTCCGACGCATCGTGTGCCTCTATCCCCTCCCACCAATTCACGCCGAGTCATGGAGCTGTAAGATGGCAATTGTCTCATTCGTCTTTGTCTATTTTTAGAACTCGTTGATGATTAGTTGTTTCGAATCATAAAAGCTTTAGAGTGTTCTCACTATTGTATTACTATTTGCTTCCGGACTCTTAAAGTTGGGTACACATCAAAACTCAAAACCTCTAAATATTCAACTCTTATGTAGTGTTTCAATAAATAATAATAATTTTAGAATTTTTTTTTATAATTAACTTATTTTTATTCTCTCTTCGAAATTTGAAACTTCACCTATCAATCAATTTATTATTATTATTATTCATATCAATCAACATTGAATATATTCGGATTCTAAATTGATAAAAGCTTTATGCACTTAATTATTTTAAAGCTATGTTAATGCTTCCTCACCTTTTAATGGAGATAGAAAGGTTGGAATGTGATCCACTATCCCTATCTCTTGCGTCATACTTCCATTCTCTCTAGTATTCCTTTCCTCCACTACGACAATAAGTGTTCCACCAAAAGGACCTCTTCTTCCGCTTGTCTGTTTTTGTTTCAGAAACTAAAAACACGCATCCTCTCCACAGTGTGACTGTCGACAGTTCCTTTTCGCCTCGTTATCATCGCAATTTGTTCTTATTTCCGAAAACATTTCTTTAACATTTCAACACGACATGCTTATCTACCTTTGATCTTTTCAATGTATCGTCGGTTTGATATGTAGCCTCCATCGGAGCCGTGGCTGTCAAGCAATCTCCGATCCCTCCACCACTTATTTGTCCAACAAAAACCTCCACAAAAAACAAAGACAAAAACATCATATCTGTTTTTTTATTGGTATAGGATGTGAGGTACAGCATGAGATGTGGACTAATTGATCTTTAACCAACTATTGCACTTCTCTTTCTTATTGCTCATTGACTATTACCAACTATTCCTGATAGTTGCCAAGTCAAGATGAATGCCTTAAATGTATTCGGCACAAGAAGTGGACTTCTTAGCTTCATTAATCATCCAAAAGCTAGACCATTGCAGTTTGGAGGGTTGTGTAATGTGTCCTATATCAAGAGATGGAACTTGCCTATCAACTTTTTTTTTTGCATGAATTTTAATATAAAAATCAGCTTGTATGACTTGCGTGGCAACGGACGACAGCCAACTCACTTCAGAACTGAGAGCGACGGAAGTCATACCCCTGTCGTTTGGATTTATACGAGGCAGCACTATCCTACCTCAAACCATCCGTAATGACACAATGCAGTGTTGCACAACATGGAGCCGTGCCGCGCGGAAAGTATGGATCGACCTCTCGAGGTATCATAGATCATTAATGAGCCTCGTATGGATGACCCTCGTAAAAAAAGAACACATAGATACCACATCGAACTAATTTAAACTACAGATGAGTCAAGTCAGAAATTTCCCTCCCGACATTGACTTTTCTTTGCATAGAGGAGCAACAACCGAAGGCTCACCTCAACTCAACCGATGAGGTACTCTCCGACCTGACTCGATTCTTTCGTCACATCATCGAATCCTCATGTGGGCAATTCTGCACCTTCGGGATGGAACCTAGCTGTGTTGACTTCTCTGCAACGGCGTTAAGTTTCATAACAAAAGACGATACTTTTATGATCAATATCTACGAAGAAAGAAAATAATTTTTTTTAGTTTATCCAATCTTAATTTTAAATTTTCTTATATACCATCTCACATAAAGCTTAAAAAGATTCCACCACTCAATTATTTCTCTATCAATCTATAGAAGTCTTGTTTTATGCTTTAATTCCTTATACTTGAGGCAATTAATAATAATTACTAATCCAACAATACCTAAGACAGTGGATGTGTTTTTTTTTATAGAAAAGCCAAGTATTTCTTTTAGTTGGTAGAATGATACATGATGAAAGCACTCAACAACAAGTCATCGGGTGCTACTCCTGTTTGGGTCACAGTGTTCGAGTGGCGTGAGTGCAAGATCCACTAATCCCTGTGACAGAAATAATTTAGAGTGAGCTTGATTCAGATGATGAATGCTGCATTTTGATCCCTGAGCATCGAATCTTTAGAGCACAAAACAGATCCCAATGTCAGAAGAAGATGCTACATTATTTTGCTTCAGATTTCTACAAGTTGAGGCTTTCGGCATCGACTCCACCATTATTGTTGTCATCTCACTCATCACGCTGGCGGCATATTCCAGCTGAGAGTGACGGCCTTGTCCTTAGTGGAGTATAGCCGCTGATGAGAAGTGGGGTGGGGTAGATGCGAAAAAGGCTCGACAAAGGGTGTCGATGAGTTTGTGTGTGATTGATGCGCATGGAATTGTGGTTGTGAATGGATTCAATGACTGCAGAAGCTTCCTCCGTGGCAGCAGTGTCACAACCTCTCCATGAAGGTTAGGGTTTCGTGAAATCAGATCGATAACTGGAGCACCTTGCTGGTCCTGTTCATATCAGCATGATGTGGTTCGGTTGTGCGTTGTGTGGTGCCAAAGCTCCAATCTGTCATCGTCAAGAACAAGATGCATCATGCAGCAGAAAGAACAAACAGCAAAACTAGTGACAAAAAGTTGCCATCTTCTCTGATAGAACCAAGCAAAGTTGGATGAGAAACCACCAAGAAAAAAAGGCTTCTTTGCTGGCTCAGTGGCTTTGGAAGTTCATATCTATCCGCCTTTTCCTACATGCACACACAGGCAAACAGCAACAGCATCATCTACATCTAATGCTCCATGGATCTCTTCAAAGATACTGTCTTCGGATTCAAATCATTACCAGATCCTTTGGGAGTGCAGGAGGAGAGGATATCCACAACATGGCAGACAAGTAACTGTGTTCTTATTGTAGGGCAGCTTCCATCAGTGCATCTGAAAGCTAAACACTCAAAGATGGCACAGTACACTCACTGCATTGGATTTTGTTTCAGCTCGATTGGAGTTAGGTCACAAACTAATAGTCAAGAATATGTGACCGTGAATTGTGTGTCAAACTTTTGGATACATTTGGACTTTTCCATTCATCATAGTTTCACACAAAGTATATTCTTCTATCATTTTGTAGGTCAAGCTAAATAACATGTATTCACACACACACACACACACATATCTATCTATCTATATATATATATATATATATATATATATATATATATATATATAC